CTCTGCCGTATTTTTTTTTTTCTTCCCCCGTTTCAGTCAAGTGGATGTGATGACTGTGGATGACGCATTAATCGCGCAACACAACTAATCGATGATAAAATTCGTTGCCAACGCTTTTAAAAGTCGATTTTTATCGATTTTATCGATTAGTTGTTGCAGCCCTAGATTGGTCACGCATAATTCACAGAAACTATGAATAAACGTGAAGTCAAAGTGTCGCCTTTGAGGCAGCAATCACAGTATATATTAGCAGAACAGGATGCTAAAGCTGCTGAAAGCAAAGCCACTGTTTTGTGATTCCCTAGCTGCCTTGCTTCCTCATTACCTCCTGACCTCGACATCTTATAGCTGTTCTCTATCATCTGTGCCTTTCCCTTTAAAATCTGGCTCCATCACCTCTTCTGCCTGTGTGCAGACAGCTGGATTTGGTAAAGGATTAGTTTTTCTCTGTAAGGATAATCCGTTTGGCAGCTGCAGAGGTTGAAATATCTGTCAGAGTATTTTCTGCCTCGTTTCATATCTAACTAACATCTATCTGGACTGGTTTTTCATATATGTTTTTTATTTTGTAATTTCACAAATATTTGACAATGATTAAATTCAGTTTTTCTCTTTTTGAGTTAATGAATCCTGCTGGATTTTCCCTGACTGTCTTCTTAGACCCCGCCATACATGGTGGACCACGGCGAGGCTGGTCCAATCCGTTGCAACAGGTGCAAGGCCTACATGTGTCCCTACATGCAGTTCATAGAGGGAGGTCGCCGCTTCCAGTGTGGATTCTGCAGCTGCGTCACAGAGGGTAATACAGCATCTAGAGCTATCTCTCTCTAAAACCTCAGCATGCCCATATCCCCATTTAGACTCAAACCGTCTTCTTCCTCAGTGCCTCCACAATACTTCCAGCATCTGGATCACACCGGTAAGAGAGTGGACTGCTATGACAGGCCAGAGCTGTCCCTCGGCACCTATGAGTTCCTGGCAACTGTGGACTATTGTAAGGTATGAACCTATATTGGTGTATTTTCAACCAGCTCAGTAAATGATGGTTGCATATTGTATGGCAAACACCATACCTGCACTTTAATAGAAACATAAATGTATAGAATAGAAATCTATTTTTGCAACCATCCCCAATTTTTCATCTGTACTAGATTTTTTTGGAGGAATCATGATGTACTCCCATTTCTCGCACGCACTCACTGAAGGAGTACTCTCGGAAAGCCACGACTGTGTTCCTTTACTGTTTGTGTGAAAGTTGGTCCCACCTGACAGGAGATGATAGATTTTCCTATTCCTACAAAGAATTTACACAAACATGATATATATATATATATATATATATATATATATATATATATATATATATATATTGTATATTGTATATTTGTAAATGCAGCAATCAATTTCAGGCAGCAAAAAAGAGAAATTGTTACACAATGCCCCTTTAAGTGTTTAGAAACAGCTGTGTAGGATTGGCCCCCTGGTTGCAGTAATACTGTCTGCGTGGCACACATGAAAAATTCACACCATACTTATCAGGTTTCTTCAAAATCATATCCATTTCTATTGTCTTTAAAAATGACCCACCACCAGGTGTTTTTTTTTTTTTCTTAGTAAAATTAAGATAACTCTTCAAAGACCTTCAAAATTCTGTCCTGATTCAGTTCAGTTGAGTCTATGAATGTCTTCAACAGAACAACAAGCTTCCTCAGCCTCCAGCCTTCATCTTCCTCATAGATGTTTCCTACAACGCGGTTAAGAGCGGCCTGGTCAGCTTGATCTGCAATGAACTCAAGACTCTCCTTGATCTCCTGCCCAGGTATCCAAAGCTAACCTCTCAAGTTTGGTCAATTAATTGATCCGACAGAACCCAAGAATGATTATTATATTGAAGGATATTTTAGAGGCTTCCCGTCTCTCCCCTCAGGGAAAACCCAGAAATGGATTCTGTGGTGCGGGTGGGTTTCGTCACCTACAACAAGGTGCTGCACTTCTACAACGTGAAGCCCACTCTGGCCCAGCCCCAGATGCTGGTTGTGTCGGACGTGTCGGACATGTTTGTGCCGCTGCTCGATGGGTTCCTGGTAAACGTGAACGAAAGCCGGCAGGTCATAGAGAGGTGGGTAACCATGACGCAGAAGATGGCGTTCACCTAACCATCAGTACGTCTGAGTGAGACACGGGTTCCATCAGACTTAATGATATGCTGATTGTTTTTCCAGCTTGCTGGATCAGATCCCAGAGATGTTTGCAGACACGAGGGAGACGGAAACGGTCTTTGGACCCGTCATCCAGGCAGGACTGGAAGCCCTTAAGGTAAACATGCTCTATTGGCCGTTATCAGGGCTGCAGGATATTGGCAAAGAATTAATTAGCTCATAATCAGGTAATGATAACAGGACTTGCAAAAAAAAAAGATCCCGTCTTCTGACCTCCTCAGTTTGTTCATGTCCTATTTTAAACACTTAATCTGTTATTAATCTGCTTTAGAAGATTAATATTAGACAGAGTCCATCTAACGGTGCATCTCACTAAATTACAATTTCACTAAGCACCTCATTCATTTCTGTAATTTAGTTCAGGCACATAATGATATATTTAAAACAGGCATCTTGGTCCAATTTCTCATAATATTTAGAAACGGGAAGGATTTTTAATCAAGAAAAACTTGGGAACTTGGTTAGACCTTTAGCATCAACTGCTGCTGGTGTCTAAAAAAAAATGTAAATCCCTTTATTGTCCCACAATGGGGACATTACCTCTCTGCATTCAATCCATCCCCCTGGTGAGTGGGCTGCCATTGTGTGGTGCCCAGGGAGCAGAGTGGGGTTAAAGGTTTCTGCTCAGGAACCCAGAGTGGAGGCTGTTGGGATCAAACCGGGTACTTGGCAACCTTCTCAGAGCACAAGCGCACTGCTCTAACCTCCAGGCCAACACTCCCACTGAGGGTTTTTAAAATGTTTAGTTTAACCTTAATTATCCAGGTAATTAGTTTGAGATCCACTTGTCATTTACAAACATGAGCTGGCCAAGAGCCTGCTTTAATGAATAAATCAATAAAAATATACAGTACATACAAAATAGGACAAACATTTCAATTACAAGTAGATAAAGAAAGAATAAATTTGAAATAAAAAAAGGAGTTTAAGTCCAAATTTACAGGATTATCTGCTAAACTAAAGAGTTTTGCAACCTCGGGTTGCTTTCATAGCCTCAGAGCATCTGCTCTCTCAAGTCTAGTGTCTCATTTTCTGCCATATTATCAATGGGATTGTAATGCTTTTTCCCTCCGCTCAACTTTCCTTCAGCATGCTAGGTTTCAGAACTCTCAGCTGCTGTTTTCTATAGTAGTTACCCATTGTGTTTTGCTCCTTACTGTGCTTGACACACGTCAAGTAAGCATGTTTCTCCAGATAAAAGAATGCCTACCGATGTGTAAAGATTTGCAGCTGCATTTCGTACCTGATGATCTGCTGTCATGTTCTCAGGCTGCCGACTGTGCCGGGAAGCTGTTTGTGTTTCACACCTCTCTGCCCATCGCAGAGGCTCCTGGAAAGCTGAAAAACCGAGAAGATAAGAAGCTAATCGGGACAGACAAGGAGAAGGTAAAGCTAGGAGGAAGTTTGGGCTGGAATCTTGAAAGTTTGTGTTTCACGCTGACTTTCTTTCTCTCTCCTCTCGTCCACAGACTCTGTTTCAGCCGCAGGTTGGATTTTACAAAGACCTGGCAAAGGACTGTGTAGCCCAGGGCTGCTGTGTGGATCTTTTCCTCTTCCCTAATCAGTACGTCGATCTGGCCACACTAGGGGTGGTCCCTGTCTCCACTGGAGGTTCAATCTACAAGTATACCTACTTTCAGGTGAGAAAATCCTCTTATTTTTCATCTCATATATTCAAATGGTGAGGTTAAGGATTTTTTTTTAAATGTATATATTTACATTAACCCCTCTTTGAGAATTTAACATAATAGATGTCTTCATCATCACAGGCTCAGGCAGATCAGGAGCGATTCCTGAACGACCTGAGGCGGGACGTTCAGAAGCAAGTCGGATTCGATGCCGTTATGAGGGTGCGGACAAGCACAGGTACGGCGTCTGGCCAATGCAAATCAAATTTAAAAGCACTGCAAAAAGCCACACAGTGAGAGAAAAGGCACCGTTTTGATTTCATTGGTTGCTGTTGTCCCACAGGGATCCGAGCGACAGACTTCTTTGGATCGTTTTACATGAACAACACCACGGACGTGGAGCTGGCAGGCCTGGACTGCGACAAGGCCATTACCGTGGAGTTCAAACACGACGACAAGCTCAGCGAGGAGACGGGAGCCCTAATGCAGGTGTGTGGATGGGCTGAGCTGTCAATCTGTTAAAAAATGAATTTATTTCCTTAATTAAACACAAACTGGTATATTCCAAGGGTGTATTTCTGTTGATTGGAATGATTGGGCCTCGCAGCAAATTCCGTTTTTTCTAAAAGCTTTTGGCCTGCAGTTCTATATCAGTTTGAACAGATGTGGTGTGGCAGCCCTTATCCTGGATCTGTCTGCATGTTGAGGCACTTCCTGTTACTGGTGCACACTTTCCTTCCACTCAACTCGCCATTAATATGGTCATTCATTCAAGAGAAAACCTGCTGCTGAAAGAAATAAGACATTTATGCATAAGATAATCTGTTCTTTTTGCTCTTTAGTCATCAGACATAAGCATGAAAATGAACAGAGAAATGCTTCAAATTGATCAATGCACTGTTTTCGGCTTTTTTGGTTGAATTACTGAAATAAATGGGTGGTCAGAAGAGCATCCAGCTGGGCTTCAGGTTTAGCCGGGGACTGTTAACAGACACGCTCTGTCCGTCTTCCTGCAGTGTGCCGTGCTGTACACCAGCTGCAGCGGTCGGAGGCGTCTGCGCATCCATAACATGGCGGTGAACTGCTGTTCACAGCTCGCCGATCTTTACCGCAACTGTGAGACGGACACAATCATCAACTACTTTGCCAAATATGGTGAGTTTACCTGATGATGCAGCAATGTTACTGAGGATTAGAGGATTTTAAAATTGGACTTTCCGGGAATTTCCTTGCAGCCTTAATCAGCTGGTGTGTTTGTGTGTCCTGCAGCTTTCAGGGGTGTTGCTAACAACCCCACCAAGGCTGTGAGGGATACCCTGGTCAACCAGTGTGCTCAGATTCTTGCTTGCTATAGAAAGAACTGTGCCAGTCCATCATCTGCTGGTCAGGTACAAAAACAAACCCCAGTTTTCTTTAAATAACATAAACCCCACTAAACCTCCTGAACCAACTCTGTTGTGATGCTGTTTACAAATCAAGGGTTGCTGCTCAGTGTTTCCTAAAGAGGTTTGTGTTGTTTCCAGCTCATCCTGCCAGAGTGCATGAAGCTTCTCCCCGTTTACCTGAACTGTGTCCTGAAGAGTGACGTCCTGATGCCAGGAGCCGACGTCTCGCTGGATGACAGGGCTTACCTCAAGCAGCTGATCAGCTGCATGGATGTCACGGAGACTCATGTCTTCTTCTACCCCCGCCTGCTGCCAGTGGTAAGATCGGCTACACACTCACACAAAGATACCCTCCCCTTTTGGTATCGAGGGTGTTTCCGTTGAAAAACCCAAGAGAAATTGTCCGTATGTGACCTTTTATCTAAGCAGGTATGTCTCATTCTGATTACAAATCTCCTTTACTAGAGAGACCTGGGTAAACCTAATAACAAAATATCAACAATTACAAATCAAAGCTACAAATATTAAAACCAATGAATATACACTAGGGATGGGACGATTTATGAAAACCGTCCGAACCGTTCGGTTCGACTGTCTCGGTTCGATTCGCGTGTGTTTCGTTCGGTTCATGCGCTGCTCCTTTTTCTCATAGGTGAAGCGATTACACTCCAGAGCAGAAGGTGGCGGTACTGCAACCAAAGCCAACCACCAGTAGTAAATAATAATAAGAAGAAGCGAAGCAGCTTAGCCGGGCATATCAGGGAAAAAAATCAGTTGTTATGGAGAATTGTGTGGGTATGGCGAGTGGGAAAGAACAGGCGTTGGAAGACGCGCCAGCAGCACTTTATAGGTCTGCTGTATGGGACCGCTTTGCATTTAGAGTGACCTACGATGACGGCGGAAAGAAAGTTGTGGATAAAAGTGCAACAGTGTGCAAGCATTGTGCAACACGTTTTGTTTATGCTAACAGCAACATGTCATGCTAACCCCGAAATCCCTCATACTCCGTCAGCAACCCCCGCTGCGCTCCAGACCGGCTGCTCAAAGCAAAGCCTACAGCCCCCACTGTGGCTCCCGTCCGCTCCCCTCTGAGTCCCTTGGAGATGACAGAGAGCATGCGCGAGATGATTAAATTCAAAGCAGCAAAACATACGGAAATGATCCAGGGTTTCCGCGGATCATTTAAAATAATTACAATCCATTATTTTTGGGGGGATTTTTTCATTAATTTCATAAATTTTTATGGGATTTCGGTGTAACAATCAACATGTATCGAACCGAACCGAAAACCGTGACCAGAAACCGTGAATCGAACCGAACCGTGGATTTTGTGAACCGTTCCACCCCTAATATACACTATAGATATTTAAAGAAAACCAAATAGTTGTGTATATAAAATAGAACTAAAATACCCCTTGATGTTAATCAAACATTTTGCAAAAACAATCCCTCATGTAGAAACGATGAACAGTGGCATGAAATACATTAAAATAAATTTTCATCCTGCAGTTGATTCCGATCTACAAAAGCAACAAACTGTAAATATTGTTTTCTATTTTTAGTGCAAACCTTAGACACAGGCAGTAGAATGAAGCTATCTGAGTGCAGAAAATAACCAAGTTTTCTAACAGTGATCTTTCAAACTAAAGGGTCCAAGATATGATGCGACACGAGGCTCCTCAATTAAACTCCATCTTCTCTCCCAGATGAAGCTGGAAAGCGGGTCGTTGCCCGTAGCAGTGAGGGACTCTGAGGAACGGCTTTCCAAAGGAGGGGTTTACCTGCTGGAGACGGGGCTCCACCTCTTCCTGTGGGTCGGAGCAAGCGTTCAGCAAGAGCTGCTCCTCAACATCTTTGGCACACCGAGCTTCAGCCAGATCGATCCCAACTTGGTGAGAAGAAACGGACCAGCCGGCAGCGTTTACTGTTTGTAGCTCCCAGTGAGCTAAAATGTACCTAGAATTGCTGGGAGTTATTTACACGTTATCAGAAGAGTGTTTAATCTGAATCAAAAGCTGTAATTTAGTGCATTAAAAATAGGAAAGTATTTTTTGTAAATAGGATAAACTTAATTTAGCCAAACTCTTCAATGCAGTATCTTTTTTTTTTTCATATATTTTTTCCCAAAATGTTTTGGTCATTAGTTCCTCGTTAACACTGAAATATTACTACCCTAACATTTTACTTTTTTGTATCATAACATAATTATGTTAGTGATTGATGATTTTCCATGATTTGCCTGCAAGTTGAAGTTTATTTTTTAATCTGCTTAGTTTTTTTTTCTGTATTTGTTTTTTTTGTTTGTTTTTTTTTAAAGGCAGCGTTGTGAATAGTCCTTTTTTTTCTGTTCCAGACGAGTCTGCCTGTCCTGGACAACCCGTTCTCACAAAGACTCAGAGAGATCATTGACTCCTTCAGAGCGCAGCGATCACGATACATGAAGGCAAGCCTCTTGTTTGTCTTTCTGCGACTCTCAGATGCCCTGAACTTCCTTTACTTTCTTATTTCTTATGTTGGTTCTGGACTAGACTAGATGAGCGCGAAATATCGGACTGAAAACACCAGGAAAGTCCAACAATAATAATCACTTTGGGTAAAATGAAACACTTTTTAATCAAAATCAATAGATTAAAAAGACAACAATTTTCTACTTGGGGAAAATTGAACCGTAGAGCTTTGATGATCAGGTTCTGCCTGTCTGATTTCTTTACGTTTTGACCCAATGGATCAGATTCGACTGACAGCTATAGAAATTGAGGGGGAAAAAAAGAATAAAGCTCTTGCAGCTGCAGCGTTTTTAAAATGAGGTTTTTCCTGTAGATCGCCTCATTTAATCCTATTTTGCATAACTTGCTCCTGTGCTCCTTGTTTTTGGACTTGACTGTCAAAAATATGGCGGTACAGAGGCTGCTCGTTGGGAGAACAGGCGCAGCGCATTCCGAGGCTGCAGTCCTCAGTCGTCCAAAAGCACTTTTAGGCTGCAGGTCTTCACCAATCAGCTTATATGCCGATGTCACAATAGTGAGGACTGGTTCAAAATGTCCCTAAATCTGAATAGTGATCCGGATCACAGTTGGGCTAAGAGACATGGTAGACATTTCAGAGAAATCTGTCTAAATTTTCTAGAATCTATTAAAGATGCAGTAGAAGATCTTTTCTGACTCATTTTTTACCGTGTAGCTTGAAGATCTCCCCACGTAGCAAGCAGTGAAATGGAAGGCCTGGAAGTGAAACGAAAAATAAAAAAAAAGGTCCCCTCTACAGTGTGAAGTAAAAGAGTAACGCCCACCATTCTCTAAACACGGTCCGGGGTCCCCTATTGGATCCTGACACATCAAGCAGGATCGTCTGCTTCTCCTTCTCCCCTGTGCACATACCCTGACACATGAACAAATCAACCTTAAAGTTACAACCCGTAACAGCCTGTTTATGTTCATTGAGAAGTTGAACAATCTTATGCTAGACGGAGAAGAGGACGCCATGGCTGAAAGCTAGCCACTGTTATGTTGTTGTTAGCTCATGTCACAGGCACTCTGTCACGGCTTGTTTCGTTCTCACCTCGACAGACAGCATGCAGGTTCATATGTTTTAAAGGCGGGGTTTCGAGGGGTGGTCTGAAGGGAGAGGCATGGTTGTGTATATTCAAAAATATAGCTTGCTTTAACTGTTTTTCCAAGATCTCCTACGGCACCTTGAACAGACCAACAAACAAACCAATTGTCCTGAAAACATTACCTGCTTGGTGAACGTCTAAAGAAAAATAAACATAACAGCACCCATTCTGGTTCAGGAAGGCTAGAGGGTCGCCAAGCAGCTTATTCTGAATCCAATATGGCTGCCATGCAAAAAAAAAAAAGCACTTAGAAAGATGAAACTATCGACTGTTTACAAGCACCATAGAATTTGCCTTATTAAACATGTGGGGTACAGTATAGTTGAATGAATACAATAATAACAGCCTGTTTTCTATAACTTCTGGTAGAATTATTACTTTTTGGAAGAAAAATCTTTTTTTCTGTTCAGAAAGTCTGGTTTGAAGATGTTTCGAGTCTTACTGCATCTCAGCCGTGCTCATGCTGCCCTCTTTGCTTCCTCAGCTGATGGTGGTGAAACAGGAAGACCGATCTGAGCTGATCTTCAAGCACTTCTTAGTGGAGGACAAGAGCGCCAGCGGCGGAGCGTCATACGTAGACTTCCTGTGTCACATGCACAAGGAGATCCGCCAGCTTCTCAGCTAAAGGACTGGAGATTCCCACCTTTCACCCAGAAACTCCTCCACCCGAAACCCGGGTCTCCGTTCACCCTGAGATTTTCTTTTTTCTTTTGTTTGGATTTTTTTCTTTTTTTTTTAACCGTACAGAAATGAACTCTCCTTGCGGTCTGTCAGCGGAGCTCCAGCTTTCAGATCGCATCCTGTATGATTATTTGTGTGCGAGTGCTCCAGGGAAAAGCTTTACCCTGCCTCGGATCTGCTGCTCCTGCACAGCAAAGGTATAATAACTGACGAGAAAGGATCATGTATATACACAAGAGAACTACGTATGCAACAACCTGATAATGAAAAAGAAGGCTCGATAACTGTAGTACTGTCTGTATTAATAGCACTGAAAGGCTTTCCTTTTCTGGGTGGGGTTGGCTTAAACGACTCGGATAGCAAACACTTTTTATATATGATTGAGTTTCAATAGAGTCACAGACATCTGTATGGAAATAAAACTGAATGCTGTTCTAAATGTCCGTTATCCACTTTAATCATGGCCTTAGTCCCCTCTGCTCCCATCCTTAATGTCTGTGTGTGTGTTTGGGTTGGTGAGTTTATTTTGAGAGGGGAAAGGATAAGCCGCAATTTGACCCAGTTTTTTTTTCTTTATCGCACTGCATCAGGTGCAATCATCTGAATATAACCTGAATCAAAAATGATTTAAGATTCAATAAAGACATAAGATCAAACAAAAATAATGTTATATTGTGGCGACATCTGGCTTTAGAGTGTGTTTGAAACCAAACTTGCTTGTTTTCATCCGTGCAATATCAAGAAATATAAAAAAAGGCATAAAAAGGAAGATTAATCTCCGACGCTTTAGAGGCATTTTAATTCAAATGTGAAGGAATGTTTAGGGGTACTGGTGTGCAAGAGGCAGACTTTATAATCTTCGAATCCGAGGCGTCGAATGTCCGAACTTGTGTGAAAGAAAGAAGCAGAGTGACAGATGAGTGACCTTTCACTTCTATTCACACTGAGCTACCCACAAGCTTTTCAGTGTGTAAATAAAAGTATACGTGTACAGAATAAATAGAAAATAAAAATTTTAAAGACCTGTCATGATTATCTGACATTTAAAGTCATTGATTTTTTAAGATGGGCTTTTTGATATGTTTCTGTGTGTGAGAGAGAACGAATGCGGCGTCGGTCCTGGTGATTTTCTCACAGGGAGAACAGAGGGATCAGCCAACACACGCAACCTTTAGGATCATTTATCACTTTCTGTTCTGTTCTAACCATCTGATCTTTGTGTTGGGTGTGTCTGTATGTGTGTGTCCAGCCCTCTGTCCTGACTTTATATTCACCGATTTGGATTGATCCGCCATCTTTACTGTAAGCTTAATTTCCTTCCTCTTATTTTTTTTTCTTTTTCCATTGCCTCATGGGACTGCTAATAAAATGATTGTTAAAAGTGAAATCAGACATTCCGATCCCTTTTATTTGCATCTAAGCTAAAATCGAAAATGTAGTAAAAAACATTTCTAATTTGCAAAAAACAATTTTATTTCATATTTTGGACCTTTGTCGATAAACTGCTACTCTAAGGCTTGTTTCTTTTTTTAGACGTAGTTTTCAAATAAAATTTACAATTCGGGCCAAAGGGTCACATTTATAGGCTTTAAATTATGACAGGTTTTGCACTGGGGAATGGTTCTCCAATATTAAACTTTATGATCGACTTGATGACGTTGATCCTCGTTTTCAAAGCTTTTAATTGTAATTATTTTGTGCCATCAGAAGCCTTTATAAGTAGCTGGAAGAATGTTTGGTTGAGCTGAGGTTTTGAACTCTAAGCTTGGTGGTGGTGGTGTCATGCTTAGGGTTTGGTGTAGAACCAGTTCTACGCCAACATTTCAGGCTAATGGAATAATGAGGGGATACTAAACGCTAGTTCCCCTGATCTAACTGAAACAGGAGAAGGATCAAGCAAGCTAACATTAGGCATTTCAAATTATCCATCTTAAAAACTTTAACTCCTCCTCCTAAATCTGAAAAATTATACCATAACATGATTGTTTATTTAGCCAATCACATAACAGCATTTGGCTATGTTGGGCGCTGCAGTTCCCTACCTGGTTCAACACACCTAAAGATAAGGCATAAAAACTCATACGTAGTTTATACAGTGGTTGACAAAGTACTATAGTACTACAAGTAAAAGCTGCTTATTAAAGACTTTTAAGTACTCACTTTTGAAAATACTAAGTATTCAAAAGTACATGCATTTAAAAGTACTGAAGTATTCAAAACTAGAAATGTAGTTTTTCAATGTTAGTACTTTGCTGTCTAACTTTCAGTCATTTTAAAGAACCTTGTAACTCTCAGAAATCACCTGATGTATCGACACGGAGAGCCTCTGCTTTAAATTCTACACTATTTTTGAAGAACCAGCAAGAAACAACCATTTTGATTTTTTTTTTTTTTTTATTTAAAAACAAACAAAAAAGCAAACTGGGGAGTCTTAATTCTCCTCACACTTTCACCATGGAATAAAGGTTTATGGTGGAATCTATTCCCACAAAGAAACTGCAACTCATGAGAACTCATCCAAACGAGCAACATGACAACAACTCAACCTTAATAAAATGTGTAACTTACAAATATCTGCCCTGAGTTTCTCACATGTGTGGAACATCATGCAAATCTCTAAAGCAGTGTTGTCCAAATTCAGTCCTGAGGGCTGATATCTTCTAGTTCTTCTCCCCAGAGGGAGCGACCACCTCAGAATGTCAAAGTTCTGCATATGTCTGCTAATGAGCGACCATTTAACCCAGCTGGGCCTAAAAAAAGAGATAACTATAAAACATCCAGAATACCTTTTCTTAACGATGAACTTTGAACTTTGTGAGGAACGTAGCGTGGCCATTTGCATTTAAACAAAAACAGCAACAGCGGATTTCAAAGCTAAGCAGAAAGGAACGAGTACCTGGAAATGTTGTGGAGTAGAAAGGTACAATATATGATACTTAAAAATTATTTAAGTACATTAATCAAGTGTCCACCACTGAATTTATAGGTTATGAGATCAACTACAATGGAAGTGTCCGATAAAAGAAAAACATGAGGTCTCATTTCGTTCAAATATGCAACTTCTCTCATTTATACAAATGATTTAATGAGAAATAAAACTAATATAAAACATTTACTGTATAATTTCATCAAACAGAAGCCTCATTTCATTTACAAGCATTCTTTAAAACATTCAAGATGTTGCATCAAACCCTAGAAAACAGAGAAATTCTCCCTCTTAGGATTAGTTTTAATAAAACAAATACATTTATGCTGAACTCTACAGCAGGCATCCTCAACCTCAGTCCTCAAGGGCCGCTGTCCTGCAGGTTTTAGAGGTTTCCCTGCTTTAGCACAGCTGATTATAATGATTGCAGTAGACCAAAAGCCTGTTAATGAGCTTTCAATTAAAATCAGCTGTGCTGGAGCAAGGAAACCTCTGAAACCTGCAGGACAGCGGGCCTCGAGGACCGTGGTTGGGGATGCCTGCTCTACAGCATAAAACAGTCAGCGCACTTGGTTCAGGTAGGAGCTGCAGAGCCTGGTTTTCCCAGAACGGGAGATTTCTCAGGAAAGATCCTGGTTTAGCGTAAAAGGACAGTAGAGTCCACCCAGCCAAGGTGGAACCCCGGATAGACGGGTTCAGTGAAGGTGGTGTAGAAGGTATGGAGGAGAGTTAGGTCACCACAGGAGACCCTAAAAAATGAAAGTGCCCCTGCCGTCCAATCCAGGTAAACTCCTACTTTATTGGAGTTGACTGTCACAGGCACCACATCATTCATGTCCCCATGCAGAATCCTGTAGCCGTCTTTATGGCAGTTCAAGCCCCAGGAGACGTGGTTGTGGCCTAACCAGCAGTCTGGACTCTCCCCTTTCCTGGATATCCGTCTGTAGGCCACAGCGATGCAGACCCTCCCGACCCACTCTACCTCCCAGTAGCAGCGCCCAGTCAGTCCCTCCTTGCACAACACCTGAGCCCTGAAATCAAACCTGTCTGGGTGATCGGGATACGACTGCTTGATCCAACGTGTTGCTTTTTGGTTTCCATTGGAAAGAGAAATATCCCTGTGTGCCGTGTCTGGGTCCAGCATCAGTGTCTTCAGGTCTAACGAATAGATAAAGAAGAAAGAATTACTCATAGGAATTACAGTAAAATGTTTGATGTGTTTGTAACTTACATTTCTTGGGACCAGGTTGGATCCTGGATTCCCCACATTGCTCCACACTAAAACGAAACAGATCATTAAACATTATTCTAAAGCTTTTATCACAGGTTACGACTTTCCTTTTTTTTTAACCATATGAGAACATGTCTTTAATTAAAATGAAAAATATTTCTCTTTTCTTATACTGGCAGTTTTCACAATCTAAAAATTTCAAAGTTTCTTCAAAGGTTACTTAAATAAATCAATGTCAAATGCTTACTAAACACTGCATATTGATAGATTTGTGATATTTAACCTGATACACATTTTGTCAACATATGACTACAAGGTTAAGCTTTTAATGTTGTCTTATAGCCGATACACTGTGGTCCATTTTTTTTTATTTTATAAATAACATTCACAAAGTGAGGTGTGTATTTCCTTAATACTTTGTAAAATCAGTTACAGCTACAGGAACTGGGAAATTTGTCTGTACCAAATTCTGCCCTCATTAAGACTTTGTTCAGTGTTACAATCAACATCAATTACCAAGCCACAGATTCTTAATTGCATTGAGGTATGGACTTTCACTAGGCCATTTTAATATATAATACCTGACATGGTACAACAGAGGGCACAGGTAGGATTTAATCCCCAGACTCCTGGCTGAAAGTCATGCATGCTGACCAGTCAGCCAAAAGGGTATTTTATTGGACAAGTAGCCAAGGTGCATGATCATTCAGAGCCATAGAGACAGGACCCTCCACTGTCAGAAAAATGTGCACAGATTTAATCCATTACATTTTAGCTCTCAGTCGTATGTTTGGATATATTGCTAGAAATTCAACTTTATCCCCTGTTAATAGACTACAGCCTCTAGGAGGGCCCCACATTTACCTCCAACCAGCTCCCCTGTCCTTTCTGAAAAAAAGAATCCCCACAGCATTACTCTGCCACAGCCATGTTTCACCTTGGAGACTGTGTGTTCACCTTAATCTTTTTTTCAGATACACAGAGTTTTGCATATTGGCCAAAAAGGCTAAATTTTGATCCATTCCTACAGGTCTAATGATGAAAAGCAAACAGGACTTTTTTGCCACAAAGGAGAGATATGTAAATATCAACTAATGCATTTCATGCTGTCCTAGCCTGTTCTGCCATATTACATGGTTGGCCATTTTCAGATCATAAAGTTCTCCTTAAATTTCACCCTGACTACAAATAATAAATCTAAACGTTATTACAAATCACACAACATTTCTGATTTTTCTTTTTTCTTTTTGGGGGGGTAAAACATTTTAAAAAAACCATACAGTATAATTTTCCTTTTACTTCACAAGATTGGGAACAGGAAAAACTCCTGTATTACTGAGCGGGTTTGTAGAGGATTAAGACCTTCTGCCTGACCGAAAATCCTTAATCCAGCGACAGAGGAAGGTTATAGCAGCAGTTTCTGCAGTTTATTGATCAGTTTTCTGGAGCTGATGAAGTTAAATGCAGGGAGCATCCAGATTTAAGATCAGGGGTTTTACTTGTAGCTGAGAGCGATATGAAGGGCAATGAACATGGGGTCGTCTGTGGACCTGTGAGCATATTAGTGTTGGTCAAATTCAGTATGTGGGCCTCAATGTTCTGTAACATTTTCATGCACGATCACCAGCGTCAGGGCCACAGGCCTTAGTAACCCAACCTTGTTATGGCAGAAGATTGAATGAAGGGATTAAAGTGGCAGATTTCATGCACTGGGCCCTATATGAAGCTGCAGCAAACATTTCACTGATATTAACAGTGCAGCGAGCATAGGGCGACAAGATTTCACCACCTTCTCTAATATTATAATGTTTAAAATGCACCAAATCCAAATGAATGGCTCTCTTCCGATTAGTATTGGATTAATTACCAAAGTTTCTGCAGTGTGCACTGAGGGTCTTCCAGCAGAGTTGAAAGCAGCATCAGGCCAGAATTTCCTGGATGGTTGTAGCTCAGGTCGAGCTCTTTCAGGTGGGATGAATTCAGTGCAGATGCCAGGAATGTGCAACCTTCTTCTGTTACTCTGCATCCTGAGAGACTTTGAGAGAAATATTAAATCTTTGATGCAGATGAACCATTTCTTTACTAAGAACGGATTGGATATAAATCACTTACCGAAGTTGCTCCAGTTTGCAGAAAGAACTTCCTAGTCCAGTGGAGAACTTTCGAACTCCTGGGTCCTGAAAGTCATTGTCGGTAAGATCCAGTTCTTTGAGCTGACAACAGGTGGAGCTGATAACAAATGCTAAAGTAATAGCGCTGTCCTCTGTTAGGCCGCAGCTTCTTAGTCTAAATTGTTTGTTTTTTTTCCAGAAAGAAGAAAATAAATAAATAATAGGCACATATAGAGTGATCCTGGTTTTTCTACGCAAGACAGTGTTTTACCTTAGTGTCTGCAGTTTGCTGTTTTTCAGTCCATCAGAGAGTTGCTTTAGGCCTGAATCTGTGAGACAATTGTTACTCAGGTCCAGCTCTCTGAGTTGGGATGAGCTGATGCCATTGGCCAGATTTTCACAGCACATTGGAGTGAGGTTACATGCCTTTAAACTGAAAAAAATGAACGACAAACAGATGGTTTGTATATTTGCCAGATTTTCCACACACCCGCTGATAATGAATTAAACACATCTTTACATAGGGAATGAACAGTAAACAGACTGTGAAGAACAATTTGACTGACAGAAGCAGTACAGTCAGTCTAAATAAGGAAAGCATATCTGCAATCATGCTGAATACAGGCATCCCTCAAAGCTGTGTGCTCGTCCCATTGCCGTTTACATTGTCAACACACGGCTGTGCATACACTGCAAAAACATTCTGAAAATGAGTAAAAAGTTCTTAAAATAAATGTATTTACCATTAATTTGAGTAAAAAAATAAGATGATCTGCCAATGGAATTAGCATTTTTACCCTTAAAATGAGATAATAAGAAATTACTCACTTGTAATAAGAGACTGCGGCTGTTTTTTCTTATTTTAATTGTAAATTGTTAAAGTTTTTCACTGATCTGCTAAATTTAAAAAAGAATGTCTTACTTAGATAAATTTTTTTCTGTGCGCATACTTGAGGAAAATCTAATTTTCTGTGACTGACAAGTCAGGATTGAACTCTTTCAAATTTAGGCCCCACTGTAAAAGAAGCAAAGGCTGCACTGTGTCCAGTGGGTTGCACTGCTGCCTTGCTGCATGAAGGCGATCTTTCTGCATGGAGTTTGCATGTTTTCCCGTGCATGAGTGGGTTATCTCCTGGTACTCCAGCTTCCTCCCACAGCCCAAAACCATGACTGTTAGGTTAATTGGCTTCTCTTAATTCTCCTTAGGTGTGAGTGTGCGCATGAATAGTTGTTTGTCCTGTTTGTGTTTTTCTGCAACAAACTGGCGACCTGTCCAGGGTGTACCCTGTTGCTCGCCATTGGCAGCTGGAGATAGGCGCCAGCACCAGCAGGAATAAACATGATGGAAAATAGATGGATGTTAGAATGCAAATGATTTGTGTAAGACTTTGCAGTGTGCTGGACTAAGCCCGCTCCTCTTTGGAAAGTGGGTAGCCATTAACTTTTTTACTCAGCTAATGCTTTCTTATGCAAATCTTCTTCTTTTCTGCTGTAATAAACTAGGTCGTGCTTTAAGCCAGCCTCACACCGTCACTGGGAAACCTGGAGTTGTATTTTATTTGGACAGCAATGGCACACACCTCGGACATCCTTATGTTTTACCATAGGAAACCATGGCTTCTTACTGTTTTTATTTTGATGTTTCTGCTACTAAATACAAGTATATTTACGCTTAAAGAGGTTATACATTTTAAGTATTACAATACATTAAAATAAGACATTTAAATGGAGTTTTGTAATGGCTCATTATGGACTACAGATATTCAAGCCAAAGGACTTACTTTGCCACTTGAGCTGTTTTCACAACAGGCATTAGTCTCAGGAGCCCCTCCTCTGACCTCATGTAGTTGCTCAGATCAAAAACACTAATCTCCTCTTCTGAGGTCAGCAATACAAAGATCAGAGTGGCCCACTGAGCAGGTGAAAGAGTACTTTGGTTCAAAACGCCTGAGTTGAAGATGTCCTGAATTTCTCCAACAAGAGTGTCATCATTCAGCTCATTCAGACAGTGAAACAGGTTGAGGCATCTGTCAGGAGATGAGCTCGCCCTTATCCTTTCCTTTATGTGTTTAATGACTTCAGTTCTTGTTCTTTGATGTGTTCTATTGCTCGTCATTAGGTGCTCCAACAGCGTCTGATTGGACTCCATTGATAAACCCAAAAGGAAGCGCAGAAATATGTCAAAATGCCCATTTTCACACTGCAATGCCTTTTCTACAGCTTCTTTGTAGAGGATGAGCTCTGATGACTCTCTGGACAGAAATCGACGTGACGCAGATGACTTTTTGACCAAAACATTGTTATTCTCATTGTGGAAAGTGAGGTAGACGTACAGCGCTGCAAAGAATTCTTGAATGCTCAAGTGCAAAAAGCAAAACATCTTCTCTTCACACAGTGTAATCTCCTGGCTGAAGATCTGCGTGTAGATTCCTGAAAACATGGATGCCTGAGACACTTTGATGCCATTAAGGATGAGGTCGCGCTCATAGAAGATCAGGTGGCCCTTTTCAAGCTCTTTGAAAGCGAGTTTACCCAATGCCAGGAGATTAGTTCTCACACAGTCAGTGGTAGAGTTTCTTCTTCCAGGCATTTTGTTCTTCATATTCTCCACATAGAGGGAAAGGAAATTGATGTACATCTGTGTCAGACTCTTAGGCGTGTCTTTGGTGTCTTTATTTGCCAGTTTCTTCTCAAGAACACTCGCTGCCATCCAACAGAAGACTGGTATGTGACACATGATGTGGAGGCTTCTACAGGATTTCACATGTGCGATCACGCTGTTTGCTGTGGTTTGGTCTGAAATCTTCTTCCTGAAGTACTCGTCTTTCTGTGAGTTGTTAAATCCCCTGACCTCAGTAAACAGATCGATATACTCAAGTGGGATTTGAGCAGAAGCAACGGGTCGGGATGTAATCCAGACTAGAGCCAAGGGAAGCAGACCTCCCCTGATCAGGTTTGTCATGATTACAGATACTGTTGTTGGCTGTGCAACATCTGACATTATTTCACTTCTGTGAAAGTCCAGAGAGAGGCGACTCTCATCCAGACCATCCAGAATGAAAAGGATTTTCTTTTCAGAACAGTTAAGGATTCCTGTGTCTTTTATTTCTGGGAAAAAGACGCAGAGGAGTTCCACAAGACTGAAGCTTTTTTTACTCATTAGATTTAGCTCCCGGAAAGACAGAGAAAACACAACATCTATGCTTGCGTTTGCCTTCCCATCAGCCCAGTCGAGAGCAAACTTACTGACCAATACAGTTTTTCCAATACCAGCGACTCCCCTTGTGACAACAGTTCTTATGTGGCGTTCTCCTGGTTGACGTTCAAACAAGGAGTTGCAGTGGATGGATTTCTCCTGGGTTACACATTTTTTTGATACAATCTCAATCTGTCTCACTTCGTGTTCTTTATTAACTTCCCCACATCCTCCCTCTGTGAGATAAAGCTCTGTGTAGATTTGATTGAGAGACATCTTATTTGCATCTGTCCCAATTCCCTCATGCAAATGACTGAACTTCCTCCTCAAGGTCATTTTCACTTTCTGTTGACACTCTGCAATTTTATCTGTAGAATACAACACAAAGTTATCAATCTTGTCAAGCAATTTCTGATCTTGCATTGGGTTCATTCTTAAAAGAGGATGCGCTTACTTTGGATCTGCTGAACACCAGAGCTACCTGTAACGTCTTCATTTGAAGATTTTCTGGAGAAGTCATTGCTTCCTGCAGAAAGAGATCAGAATTAGGAAAGTCTAAATAAACGTCTTATGGCGAAATTTTTCTTTCAGAAGTATGTATATACAGAAGTTCAAAAGTATTTTTAATATAGCTAACTTTTAAATATAGCAGCTTGGGCTGCAGATTTCCCGCTTGGTCCTAGTGATTAACCAATATCTGTGTACTGATGTGTAACATTGTTTTTGGACAGTAGAACATGCAGAGGACCAAAACGCACGTTTAAAAAAGTGCAGTTAGCATGTCCCCCCAAAAAAATGATTACCATGTTATTAAATTAGGAACACCGGATTTATGGAAAGCATAAAGCAGTGCACAACAATACAGTTTCACCTGCAATCATTTCAAATATATCAATTTAAGATCAGGACTGGGTTACTTTTCCATTGCAAAATGGAGCATTTCCTTAAAAAGACATCTCCAGACCTTCTGCATTCACTAGCACACTGTGTATATAGTATATAGCTATATGCTATATATTGTATATAGTATACTGTATTTTCTATATTGTATGTAGCTATAGATTCTGTATTCTGCATATAATTTGTCTGCATCATCAACACCAAGTGCAAACCTACTTGGTGTTAGGAATCCAGTTTTGTGTGGGATGTGTTTTTTTTGTGTGTGTCTTTCTCTTCCTCCACCACCAGGTGGTGCCCTCTTCTCGTTGGTCCTCTCGCACACCTGCGGCTGGTTGGTTAATCACTGAGGACTACTTAAGCGGTGGACTGTAACTATCTCAACGCCAGAGTGTTTGCCAGTTTTGGGTACTCTAGCCAAGCTGAGATTAGCTGAGTCTAACTGAGTCTTTGTTTCTCTAAGCTCTAACTGTGTTTTTGTCTTTGCCTTTCGGCAGGAAGCCATCCTGCAAACTGGATGTTTTTGGCCTTCTTCCCCTGGAAGGATTGTTTGAGTCTCACACTGAGCAGGGGATTAACCTCCACAAGTTCAAGCTCAAGACCTCCTGGAATTCAAGTGACACTCCGCTCCATAGTGCCTCAGGAACCAACCAAATCAAAACCTGTCCGCCCTCCAATGAGTTCCTCCCTCTGTTTTACCCACACAAGACTGGATTCTGGGAAGAAAGTTTTCTCCACTAATGTGAGTCCCGTTTTCTCTGTTTCTCCAAAGTCGTCGATCAAAGTTCCCACGGACCCTAAACTAACCTCTGATACTTCCCTTCCCAGTTCCGGTACACCAGTACCCTGAGTTTTCTGAATCCAACCCCGTTCATCTCCTCAATAAACCTGTTAAACTTTTACCCAGGTTTCTTTGACTGGTTTACTGCATGTGGGTCAGATCCCTTAAGAAAATCATGACACTTGGTAAAAATCTGATTCTTTTGTAAGTCTTATGTCTTATGTAATTGTATCCCTTTTGAATAAAAATAGCTCTTATCAGATTGCAGCCATAGTTATCAAAATTAACCAAATGAAATTTAGTACTATAGCACTCTATGATAAATGAATCGTCACAATAAACAAGTTTTGTCGAGCCTCGTTTGTCAGATTTAAATTTGTCTTTTCAAATAACCTTAAATCAAGTATTAAAACAGGTAATTAGGTCCACATTTCTCTATTAAAATACTTTTTGTTGGTTAATGTAATATTCTAATGTTGAATTTTGGGATTTTAATAACTAAGTAGGAAGCAATCAGAAAATCTTAATAAAGATTATTCTGGGAGTAATTATGTTATGTAATCTGATTTAGTTAATTAATTAAATATATTTCGATAATGATTTAGTTAATTCAGTTCATTGCTGTTTTGAACGATTATTTGCAATGTTGTGGCTTATAGTTACATAAAAAATTTTAAACGTGACACATTTTATACATTTGCAATGTTATTTAAAAAATGCTGAAAGCAATGTTGAGTATGCCTACCTTTGTTCATGGATATATTAATGTTGACACTGCCAATGCAAGAGCCAGTGATGGAGGGAGCGACCACATTGCTGCCGCTCTGAGCACTGAAGCTTGGCTGGAAATGATGGATTTCAGCCTGTAATGATGGAACCGACTCTGGGAGGAGTCCTAGAAAAACACAGTGAATGCTTAAACTCTGAACATTTGGTGACTTATCTGTAATCTTTGAAGGCTTTTCAATCAGGGTAAAATAAATCAGGTTAGTTCTGCATGTAAACAATGTTCAGGTTTTGTGAAAAATATTAATAATTGAACACAACTGTAAATATTTCAATCTCAGACAAAAGTAGCATCATTGAATAAAAAAAAAAGGTTCAAGATCATTTTGTTGGAAAAAAAAAAAGAAAAGCAAACTAGCCTGACTTCCCCTGTGTGATCCAGTAGTTACCCTAACAACAAAGCAGCCCCTAACATCACACCTCTGCTACCATGTCTATAAAGATGCCAGTTTTAGCCAAGCAAATTGAGGTATACAGTGTTTAAAATGTTTTTTGAGGTTCTTATAACCTTCTTTATGAGTCTTTTTGAGTATTTTCTGGCCAATTCCCCCTGGAACGTTCATTGCTGTTTAGCCTTATCTGAATTTAGAATAGAAAAGAACTTTATTGATCTAACAATGGAGAAATTTGCTTGTGACATTGGCTTTTATAAACAAACAGAAGGTGCACTAAAGAGGAAGAGGTCCTCAAATTATTTACACTGCATTCAGATATATACAGTGGATGGCAAAAAAAATAAAGAAGGAGAGATTTAAGATGATTAATATATACATTATCTTATGTATAGGAAAGTGGTGGCCGTTAAAGTGCAGTTTCTGGTTTGTTAAATAGATAAATAGTATAAGTTATTGCAGTGTTATTACACCAGGTTGCAGTGTCATTGTAAAGTCTGATGGCATCCCTGCTTTTCTTCATGTTCTCCCACTTATAAATCATGCAGGGGTCTGAAATTGTCATCATAGGTGCATGTCCACTGTCAGAGACATAATCTAAAAAGAAATCCAGAAATTGTAAAGTATGTTTGTTTTACTATTTATTTGTATGAGACAGCTGCAAAAAGCTGTTCAGATACTTAATTTCATTAAAGGAGCTGCCAGAGCAAAGCCCAGGACAGAAGTGGTCCTCCTCACCAGCTTGTGGATATTTGGCCCTCAGTGTTGTTCATTGAAATAATAAAGCTTTAAAAATGACTTTCAAACTCCTTCTTCCAGTCTGAAAAAGGCTTGAAAGGAGTTACAAAATCAGTGTTTCTCATCATCTCTTTAACTGCTTTAATTTATATATCTTTTTAGAGCACTTCATGTAAACAGCTCCTATTTACGGTAATCATTGATTCTATAGTTGTAATCTAACATGTTTGCTAATGCCTGCATAAAGTCTTTTCTTTAAAGTGAACACTATTTGAAAACTGTTTTCACATTAAACAAAGTTATCTTTTTTAGTTGGATATTAAACTTTGTTTAGTGATCTGATCAATATAAGCGTAAAAAAAACACAAACTGCAAAAAATTGTGGAAAGGTTTTTTACTTTTCCACAGCACAGACATGTGAGACTTTCTTTTTTGTGCCTCATTATCTAATTAATAAAATCTTTTACCTTAGAGAAACAATTAATCTTACCTCTGAAGTCTGTTTTTACTTCATCAGCAATTTGGTCCATATTGTGACAGCTTTTTCATCCTTCTCATGCAGATTCTGTTAACTGATAATGCTCCATCTCTTTAGAAACATTTTAAAACTATTTCCTCCAAGTAAATTAAAGAAAAAAACTACATGTAAAGAACAAGAACAGTCCTGTCAGAATGGCACTGAGGAATTTTTATTGACAAAAGAGTGAAAAGTAACAGCGTCCGCTGTATGCATCACATACTTCCTGATTTTGGCGTGTGAAAGAAGTAGTTCCTCTCAATGCAGAGACGAAGAAAACAGGAACTGTAGAAAAAAAAAGTCTAAACAGTCAACTGTTATTGGAGGCGAAGGTTGCAAACCGCAACACTTTCATTTACGAGAAAACGCTTCTTCAGCCCGTTAAGATTCATTTTCTGTTTTATCAGTGAAAGAAAATGAACTTTTAATCCCAAGTAAAATTACAACTTCATTAAAGAAAGGAAATCTATGCCACACGTGTATTTATATGAGATGATATTACAAATCAATAGTAAAGGTACCACTACTCTTCTTGTCTTAGCAGCTGAACTTGTTGCTTTAATTGGTTTAAATATATTTTTTTGTGTTTCAGTGCCAGATAGACTTGATTTTCTTCAGATGATGAATTAAATGAAAAATGTACTTATGGAAATATGGAAAATAAGGAACTAAGACATGAAACTGAAAATCTTATTTCCTTCCTTTTTGTCTTTATTTTCAGGGAAACTGTAGTGACAGTTATCACATTATATAAAATTATTAGGTTAAGATTAAATGAACCTGGCATAAACTGTGTGAGTAGAATAATTTTTCTTTGGGTGAAATTTGACAGAAACAAAAAGGAGGATACACCTCAATGGACTGAATGATTGTGAATGAGTTGTTCTCTTTATGCAGGTTAAGTTTTTTGATTTTAAACAAAATCATAAAATGGCCTCCTCCATTGTTCAGACAGGACGCCTTTTATGACAGCTGGTGAAAATTTTTAGTCATCCAGGTCATAGTCATTCCAAGAAAAAAGGTTAAAACAATCCACTGGACTTTGTTTCAAAGTTTGAAGACATTTTGCTTCCCACCCAGGAAGCTTTTTCAATTCAAAGCCTGTTATGACTGTAAGATTCCTGAGGGTGGCAGCAGAGATACAGAATCACAAATGTTCCTGTTGAAAGTTTACATACAGTCAGGAATAATTTGATATTTATTTCATTTACGATTAAAAAATATCTGAACATTTCTTGTTTTTCCGAGAAGTAATTAGAATAAATAAACAAATTTACCAGTTCATAAAAACAAGGAATAAAGTGTCCACATTTACATTTATTCCTCACTTTTCTCATCCATAGTTCTGACTGGATGTTTGACTCCTCCTCTTGACAGAATGATAGAAGTCTTCTAGATTTGTTGGTTTAGATGTTCAGCAGTTTCCTGGTATGGAAATGGTTTAGGGAAGCGTTGGGAAGGTCATCACAGCTGCCTGCATAGACAAGCTAAAGACCTTCTGGAGAAAAGTTTAAAATTAATCTGTTTAACCACAAAGGACAAGAATTAAGCTTGAGGGACTGACCTAAGAACACTATATCAGTTCCCAAGCAAAGCTGTGGCCATGTCATTCTGAGGATGAGGATTTGAAACACTGATCTGTGGACGTATTGTGAATACAGCTTTATCCGTTCAAGAAACACAGAAAGAATTTCCTCATTATTCAGTTCAGCAGTATAGCAGCAGAGAAACTGCCTTGCAGCATAATACTACCACCACCATACCTTACACCTGGTAACTGGTAATGTTATGGCCTTGCCTCCTCAAACTATTGTGACCAAATAGTAGATTTTAATATCTTTACCATAATTCCAGACCTTAAGTCAATTCTAGAGCTTCGATTCCATTTAAATGATTTTTACATTGAGTTATTCAGCCACTGATGGTGCTAAGCTACATTGTTGCCACAATTGCTCTTGGGCACACTGGTAGACATAAGGCTGTCACACAAAGGCCTTTTAATTACCTCTAGCAGGCAATCCAGGGGAATTGTCCTTCGCAAAAATACAACAATTGGAACGGATGGAGACCCTTGTTGACACTTTTTCAACTCAAGTAACATTTGTAAATGTTTGCTCATTGTTTCTTTCAGCAAAATCATAGCCATGCAGGCAAAATAAAGTTATTCATGCATTCCTGCAATCATAAGGTCAAACCCTTCAGCCTTTGCAGTTCTGCACCAGCTTCGACTGAACACTTGGTGGAAGCAGAACTCAAGGTTTACTCATATGGTTGACATTGCCTGCATCAGATTAGGTTAAACTTACTGGATCTGCAAACTGATGTGTCAGGATATTTGGCACTGGGACAACAGAATTCTTTTAAAGGCTGTTTCAGATGCAAGTAAGACAAAATTAATTAGCAATGAGCAGACCATGCTAGATGGTTTGTCTTGGCTGATGTAATTCTGACAGACAGAAGAAGATGCACCTGATGCTAAACGGTTAAAAGTGAGACACTATATGATGTTTTATTTTTTTTATTCATCAATAAGTAGTGATGGGGAATTAGGAATGTCCAGTGAAGGATGACAGTTGTTACCTGTCATTGCAGGAGTTAGTGGATCAATTTGTTAGTGGATCAATTTGTTGATGCAAGACATCAAGATGGAGATGGTGGTCTTTAGAGGTGGTCCGGCTTTCAGAACTCCTGGGGACCTTAAAGAAGAATCTAGGCCTTTTAATTTGTAGAAGAACAACATTCACCTATCAATTGTTCAATTTAATCCAAGAATAACATATTCTCATTTGGAATTAGGTATGTTATTTTGACTAGACCCTTCTGCACATGCATATGCTTTGGTCTAGCTGTTTATTTAAGGTGGTTGACCTGTTTGAGGTGACTTTCTGACCCAGTCTCAAGTTTTTTAGACAATTTTTCTATTGCCCTGTGTTTACCTTCATCCAACTTTGAATCACCACTTCTCCATTCCCGTCCAAAGTGACTGAGCACTCTGGCATTTAATCCAAAACACCCAGCCTTTTTTGCCTTCATACAGCCACATGAATTGACACAAAGTTGCTGTGCCACTCAGCCACGTCAAACTCGCTGAGCAGCTGGGGTCAGAGGCTTCTGGCTGCAGGGCATCACGACAACAGGAGCTGAAGGGAGAGAGGCAGTTATACTTACTCCCCACTCCTCCTGACATTCAGTCAGATCATTGCTCCAAAGCTGGGAGTGTCATGACTCAACTCTTGGCCCTGTCCGCCTTATAAGTTGCCACGATGTAACAGATGGCGTAGTCATCCTCATTAGTCATAATAAAGGAAGAAGTCTAGCCTAAATGTATCAAAGCTCAGGCTATAATTCCCCAAATTTGTATTTTCTGGACACAATTCCAGTCTGCAGCACTAAAAAATATATGCATTCATCTAGCAGGAAAGAAAATACTTCCTTTAATATGTGGATTAACTGAAGAGGAACTTTAAAATCCTCCTAATGAAGCACATATATAAAACCCTGATCAGAAATATATGAGTGTAAATAGCTGCTTATTAGGCTTTAATTATCTAGCTTTTCTCTGAGCTTAAGGAGCAATATTCTGAAGAGGAATACGTTGCTTTGTACCATTTTATAGACACAGTGTTTTGTTTTTAAATGCAGGGTGGCATGGGAACAGTAAGTGATGGCAACATAAATATCTGCCAGATTTTCCATTACAGAATCAGGAGGGAAGCTAACATCAGCTGGTGGCTTGCAGACGTTAATGGTGCTGCTTATAGCAGCACTAGACTTTTTTTGCACAACTGCTCAAGACATGCAAAATCCTTAGGATTGCTTTATTTTTCATTGAGGTAGTTTGACATGAGATTGAAAGTTTATAGAACATTTTAGGAGAAATATCAATGTGAGAAACTTTTCATTCATAAGTTTATTTCATTTGTTGTTTTAAAACATGCATAACATAATCATTAACCCCCCTAACAAAGCAAACATCACATTTGACATAGTTGCACCATCTCTCTTCTCTTCAGCTCACAACAAAGTTTTTTCCATTGCAGGCAGGTCTGGGGACACAATTGGCCAGGGAAGAAGTTTGACTTTGCATCAATTAAACAATTTCTGTGTTGATTTGACCATTTCAAGACATTATTATTTGAAGATCCGATGATGACCTCTTTGTATATTTAATTTAAAACCTTGGTCTCTCTAAAACAGTTCTTTATCCCAGTAATAGTCTTCACAAATGGGAATATTTGAAATTCAAGCCAGCCCCGAAGAAGAATTGGAGTGGAAATGATTGTGGATCGTATACGCATAAGGAGGGGCAGGTCAGTCGCTGATGCTACCCTACTTAGAAAGATAACAGAGATTTGTAATTTTTAGAATAGGTTTACTAGAAGTAAAAAAGATTAAATAAAATATGTAAATAATTTTCGAAAGCAAGTACTTGGTCAATAAAAAAAGTTCAGCTTAATACTTTTTTTAACCTTTGTTGACAACGAGAGTTCAAATATTTTCTGTAAGTCTTCACTAGGTTTGCTCACATTCATAGTTTGTATTTTGGCCCATTCCTTCAAGCAGATCTCCTCTAGAGCAGTGATATTTTTCATCTCCCTCCGCCATTTTGTTAAACTGGGATGAACCAGGTTTTAATTTTAATTCTACACTGTTTCTATCGAAAAAGCCTCATGTAGAGATGGTTCGCAAAAGAAAGGGACATTCAGTACAACTCTTTGAGCTGACTGGGTACCTGCGTCCCATGTTGAGTTTTTAGCCAATTGCAGCACCCGAAGCATTTATGGCGTATCACATTCTTGATTTGTTTCACAACTTGCGGAGTTAAATGAGAAAAATTCTTACCAAATCCCATTGGGAGGAAGGCACAAACATCTTTCCCATCCCACAAATCATGTCCCTGTGCCCTCTGTATAAAAAAGAAATAGAGGGTATTCCAGCTAAAAACGACGCAGCCATGTTTGTTTTGCTTCAGGCTTCTGCCTGTGGTTGACATGTTGACGTCATCCACATCGCTGCATTTCATTGGTCTGAAGCATTTCTTTATTGAGGCTTACGCATCTGTTGGCTTCTGGAAAGATGTATTTTCGGGAGTTTGTGAATTCATAAATCTAGCGACAATTCATCCCTATTGCAAGGTAACAAAATGTCTATGGTTTAAGTACTGGAGATTGACCATTGCTAAACCATTCCAGGAC